ATGGCTCGCTTCCATTATCGTGCTCTACAAATGAACAGGGAAGATATGTACGGACTGGAAGACGGGTCGTACGACCGCGAGGATGAAGAAGGCTACATGCCACGACGGAACTGGAAAGCCCTTCAGTTTGCACTTTATGCAGCTTTGCTTGCAATCACGGTTAGTCCTACCCTCATCCTGCCCTCTACGATGCCTTTGAACGCAGTTTGACTGACAGCTATTGGCACGCCAAGGCCCGGATCATCTTCCGTCTCGTCGAGTTTACCGGAGGCATGACTCCTGAAGAGAACCCAATACCTTTCACAGAAGCATACGCATATGCCCTAGACGCCTTCCCCATGATGTTGGCGTTGCTTATTCTCGCCGTCATACATCCCGGTCGAGTCCTTCAGGGTACGAATAGCGAGTTCCCCAGGAAAGGATGCCGACAGAAGCGTAAGGAGAAGAAGGAGAAAAAGGCGGTAAGAAAGGCAGCTAAGGTGGAGCGCAAGGCAGCCAAGGAGGAGAAGAATCGAATCAAGAACGACCGGAAAAAGATGAAGACATATGGAGAGGTACCTGATGCAGAACCGGATAGCTATGGGATGGGGCTGATTGATGGGCAGAACCACGAGCCCATGCGATATGCAGACTACGCTAGGTACGCAAGATGAGTGATGAACCCAAGTTATGGCAGGACTCGATTATTCACATTTATCAGATAATCAACACCTTTATGTACATGTACTCATGTTTGCAAGGCTGTCTGCTGTCTTTTCGCCTTTTCCACGACACTTTTATCCGCTGCTCGTCTATACCACCCAAGGAACACAGCTCCTTACCATGTAAATAGACTGGCCACAATGCTCAACGCCGCTTCACTGAGAGAATTAGACCTGACTCACCCGAGTCTGCCAGCGAGACAAGTAATCTGCCCCAAGAACGTCGCTTTCAAGAACACACCGTAGCCCGCTTATTCATGAGAGCCGTTACTGTTGCTCACTAAGAATACCGCCACCGCATTTAAAATGAATCTTTCTTCAGTTACCTTCGCTCTCTCTTACGACTTGGCACTCTCCTTACACCATTGAATGCAACGTAGGCTATCCATGTCGGCGTCAGGTTCCAGACTTCTTACGAATACACGTCCTAGCTGACATTGCATATGTATAATGGATCCTGATCCTGGCATGTTGAGAACACCCAAGGAGGGGGCACCCCCGGTGGATCTGCCAACGCTTTTGAGTTTTGTCTGTGCATGCATGTCATCCCGAATTTTGGGAATGACACGAGAAGTAGACAACGTGTTGATGTGAGGAACTGATCATGGCTTGACGTTTTGCATTTTCACGCAATAGCTTTCGGAGACCTCGAGGTCGACGCTGATGCACAGTCAGCGGAAGAGAATGATGATTTTCAGAATATGTCAACATGTGCCTAAATAAACAGGACTATCATGTCAAGAAGTCAGTCAGAGGTCATCGAAGACTGGGTCAAGACACCGATACCACCCAAGACCGCCGACATGCCTTTCCTGATACTCGACTCGGCGCTGCCATTCGTGGCTATCCTGTTGCTTCTTGGAGTCTTCTTGTTCCAACTTGTGTACCGAACTTTCACAGGAGGTCTTTCGAAAGTCCCCTCCGCTCACTGGACTTGCTCTTTCAGTCCCATTTGGATTCTTTGGCAGCGCTACCATGGGAAGGAATTGAAAGCTGTTCTCGCAGCTCACAAAAGACTGGGCAAGATTGTACGAGTCGCGCCGCAAGAGATCAGCATTAGCGACTATGAGACTGGTGTTCGTCAAGTCTACAACGCCGGGTTCGAAAAACCGGGATACTTCGATTTCTTCCAATACTATGGGTAAGTGTTAGCATCAATTCCGACAATTGCTCAATCCCACTCTCACAGTTCTGATACCCCCAAGTTGTGGCAGTTTCACTTACTAACCTACTTGTGTTTTAGACAGCGGAACTCTTTTGCCAGCCGGAGCCGAGCAGACCATGCCGCATGCCGCCGACGGGTCTCCTCGTCTTACTCCAAGACGACACTCTTTGCCTCCGAGACGCTGAGCAAAGTAACTCACAGCATCATGTACCAACGTCTCATCCCAGTCCTCCAACATCACTCTGCACACGGACAACCGGTAGAGCTTCTGAGACTCTGTTATGCCTCAGGGTTGGACATGCTCAACTGTTACATTTTGGGTCTTTCCAGCGGACCCGACTTTACTCGAAACCCTGAGTTGACAGAGATGTGGCTGGAGCACTACGAGAACAGATACAGTCCTCAGGGATTCTGGCTTCAGGAACTCCCCAAACTCTATCACGGGCTTCGTAAGATCGGACTCGATGTGATGCCTCGTAAGCACTATGAGTCGACCGAGTGGATCGAGAACTGGATGTTGGAGCATTGCGACAAGTCTGAGGCAATGTATCGACGCATGCAGAACGGCGAGCAGCCTCCTGCGGAAGACATCCCAGTTGTGTACAATCAACTACGAAAGGCTATGTCTAACTTGAAAGACGGCAAATTCCTCGATATGCAGGCGTCGGAAGAGTTGTCTAGAATCTCTATCGCCAGTGAAATTTTTGATCACATGTGTAAGGTAACCGAACTCCTTCAATGATCTGTCACTAACGAATCTCTGTCTATTGTAGCCGGCGCTCGCGAGGTTTTCGGTAAGTTTCTGGAATTTCACTCAAGCTACTTTTACCTGCTAATCTGACTAATCAGGCCTCGTTCTTGCCTACGCGGTTTACTATCTTGCTCAGAATCCAGCTCAGCAAGAAATGTTGAAGCATGCGGTTGCGGGACTCGGAATGCACGTGAATCAAGTCGGTCACAGTGACGCTAATAGTCTGCCTTCGCCTCAAACAATTGAGTCGATCGCATATCTGCAGGCTGTCATCAAGGAGTCTCTGCGCATGAGACCCAACAGCACCCCGCTACCACGCATCACACCTCACGATAAATCTGTGAGCATCTCGGGAGTCGACGGTATTCCAGCGGGCACTCGGGTCAACTGCTTCCAATGGTTTTTGCACCGGAACCCTGAAATGTGGACACAGCCAAACGCCTGGGTTCCTGAACGCTGGCTGGACCCGAATGGCGCAGAAAGGACCGATATGCCTCCTCTCTGGGCCTTCGTCACCGGTCCGAGGGCTTGTATAGGAACACAACTGACGTACTATCGTAAGTAATCTCTCCATGTGGAAAACACTTATGCATCCTCGCTCTGCGATAGGTATCGATGATTCCCAGGAAGATGCTAACTCGACCTCAGTGTTCGGATACATTTTGGCTGGTCTGTTCTCCAACTTCAGTGTCCAAATCGCCCGCCCTGAGACCTACGGTCGCCACACACCAGGATCTCTAGAAGACGAACTCTTTGTCTTAATGACACCGATTGCTGCATAAACTGAGGGAGGGGTCGTAGTTTGATGCACTTCCCTCTACCAAGGGCTAGTACCTAAGAATGGTTTCGCATATGTAATTGGCTACTTGTCGCATGTTTTCCTTGACGCAATTTGGTTTCAAAATAGTTGAGGATGGCTAGTTGTACAGGATTTGTCGTATTTAAAAAGACTAAAGATGATTGAGCGCCGTAGGCAAGATTAGAATGAGTTTCGATGTGCTAAACTGAAAGAAAGATTTTGTATGCCGATTTATCTAAGTCTTCTCTTATTGGCATGTACTCTACGTGTTCTGTGTCGCTTTCTCGAGGTACTTGATACTTACTTGCAAGTTTGACGACATAATATAGCGTTGATCCGGAACGCGCAAATGTTTCTGTGCTGTTCGCATCAGGAGTACCAAGAACTGGGGTTTAATCACTGATCTTCTCTTGTACTAAAACAGGTAGACTAGTGTCACGTAGACCTCTCTATGCATTAGAGTCACTGATTCTAGTCTGGATGGCATCCTCAAACTATGAGTACAGGAACGCCTTCCTGTACTCATTCAACATTTCTCATCACGCCTGCATTGACAAGATGCATGGGTGGCCAAGCTGGGTGACTTTTGCGACTAGCCGCGTGAGCACCTGCCATGGTACCAAATGGGAGGTTGGTACCAGAGCCGTCGGTCTAGAACATCGGTCGATGCATGTCAGAAGTGGCTAAAACAACGCCTCTACCTTGGCAGGTCTACCTAGAGAGTTTTGAGCCATCAAACAATGCGAAAATCTTGGAAGATGATTTGCGTGCCGACCAGTCAACTTTGGTCTCGCAGCCTAAATCATTCACATGAAAGCCTATTCGAGGTTGCAGACCACCGAATGAGCGACTATCTCTAGGGCGTTTGAAAAGCTCCCAGCCATGATGATTATTAGTGACGATGGCCTTTTCAGCAAGGGCGGCCTTTCGTTGTACAGCATTTCTGTGGCGAAATTGAAAAGGTAAATGATCTACCTTGACGACAGGTGAACATCGGTGACACCTTAATGCATATCGCTCTCTCAGCTCGATCTTTTTGTACCGAATAGCATTTTTAAACATTGTTCAACGAAGCACGATTGATATGTCTCTGCCTCAAGAGCGATCATTGACATCGCAGGTGTTATTGGAGCTCCGGTTAGTTACTCCAAAGTTTCAGCTGCGGCTGTATGCAATGAGACAGCCACCAACTCACACTAAGGTAAGACCCGATATGAAGGCCAAGCTGAACCCCCTTGCATGCCACCTTGAGGTTGGGAGCCGTGCACAAACCCCGCGCTATTTGAACGCTTTGGATCTCCATTTATCTCGAAAAGACAACTAACGCTCATCTTCGAAAATCAATGCCCACCTGTATCTAGAAACATGGCTTCTACTCCTCGTGGCGCTCACAAGCGCTTGATTGTGTGTTGCGATGGAACATGGATGGACTCGTTAGGCAGCAAGGGGTAAACTGACCTTTGTCTCCCGCGACAGCTTCATCGTCAGCTAACCGGCACGCAAAGCGCTGAGCCGCAATCTAACGTGACAAGAATATCTCGGATCCTTCGGCGAACCTGTCAAGATGGCACCCACCAAATTATCATGTATCATCCTGGCGTTGGCAGCTCAGACAGCGTAGTCGACAAGTTCACAGGTGGACTATTTGGGGTTGGACTTGACCAGGTAAAGCCCATTGCGACTTGTCATTCTCCTTTGATAGGGAGCTAATGCTTTACGTAGGCCATTCGCGAGGTCTACAATTTTATATGTACCAATTACGTCGATGGAGACGACATCATCCTTATAGGCTTCTCCCGCGGCGCCTTCACGGCGCGCTCTGTCGCCGATATGATTGCGACGGTCGGCTTGCTAACTCCTTCGGGCTTGGATCATTTCTACGCCATCTTTGAAGATTATGAGAACATGGGCGACTCTGATCGTGATCCGAGTTTATTCTTGGACCCAAAAGTACTTCCCTATAACGGTGAGAAAGGAGCAGCTCGGGCTAACTGGGAGATGGATCGGAAATCACAGTATGAGAGATGGCTTTCCAAGGTATGTCCTGCTGCTGAAGTGCCTCTCCTCAAGATGTGATACTGATAGGATTCAGAATGGCCTCACAAGGCACACGTACGAAGATGCAAATGGCGTGCACGAGATCAACATCAAGGCGGTTGGCGTATGGGATACCGTCGGCGCCTTGGGCATTCCCCCGGCCCCGGTCGTTGGCCTCCAGGGGACATCAAATCAATAAGTTTTTCTCTACTATGAGCATTCCGAAATTAAATACCGCTAACATAGAAGTTCTACATGGAAGTTCAGCAACACTCAGGTATCCGACCGCGTAGAAAACGCCTTCCATGCTCTGTCTCTAGACGAACCCCGATTTGCATTCCGCCCTGCACTCTGGGAAAAGCTTGAGGGCAATAAGACCAATCTCCGACAGGTTTGGTTTCCTGGTAACCATGCCGGTGTAGGCGGGGGATGGCATGAGCAACAAATTGCCAGCATCACTCTAGCTTGTATGTAGCCCATGCCATGGTGTGTGCTTTTCGATAGAAACTGACAGAAAAAACAAGGGATGTGTGATCAACTATCAAGCGTTGGTGTGGAGTTTAACCCTGGTCGTATGTCAGACATTTTCACTGAGGGACTTCGGTTCTCAGCTGGACACCCATTCTCGTATGTGCCCAGCTCCTGGTCATCATGGCTCCGGCCGAGGCAACAACTGCCGTGGGCGAATTCCAAGATATGTCCGGTAAAGGCATCAAGCATCCATCGGGATGAGGCTGAATGTGATGGAAAAGATCGCCATCCCGCCGGTGGTGCAGAAGAGCTCTGGAAAACCGCTCGTCCGTGGGGACTAGGCCAAATCCGATATCCGACGAGCCGCTTACAGACCTGGTCAGGAACCACAATCCGTCACCCTGGGACCTTTATGCGTACGGACCCGGAAACGAACCAAGACACGGACCAGCCTTTGCTCAACACCAACGAGAGAATTCACAGTAGCGTGCGGGTCAGACTGGCTTGCCAAGGCCTTGCTATGGACGATGATGGGGTCTGGGACTGCAAAGCTCTGGCCACAGCCGATGACGGGAGTGGACTGTGGAAGCTGGAACGCGGCTCCGGGCTTAACGCCTCTGAGGCAGATAGCGTCAAAGACGGCAAGACCAGGAAGTTGGATCTTGACGCAGAGGGAGATGTCTTGAAGCCTTATCCGGTCCAGAAGGAAGACAGCCAATGGAAATGGGTATTGGCTAGCAAACATCCCAACGCCTTCCCGCTGGCTGGTGTGCTTCCCGAGGAGCCTTTGACGGGGTACTGGGAACGGAAGTTGCTTGCTTTGACTGCGGGAAATCCCGACGTGTGGAGATGGGCGGAGGAGAACCCCCCCTTTGGCTTGATCTAGGTCCTCTCTGTCTCAGTCAGTGGTATTTGGGGTGAGGGGGCGGACAGCCTCGAGATCACGGCGAATGTGACGAATACAGTTGAATGTCTTACACTTGATTCTACCGCTGGAAAGTCCAGCAAATCAGATAACCTCCCTTTGCAAGTGATCGCCATGGGAGCACAAGTGATCGCCATACCGGCATTGTGTGACCTGCGTGCCTGCGTGCCTCCCACCTGCTTGGCTCTTGGGTCCTCCACCATGTCGATCCCATCCTAGTATGTAGGAGTTTCCAGAACGAATACCTATCTGCGCTGCTCATTCTTTGCTCGAAACTCGCTCATTGTACACATAGACTTTGCCCAGCGGTATTGTTACCGCCACCATCGCGATATACTGACAGTTGTACGATCCCCGATCAGATTTGCCGCATTCTTGAGCAAGGCTGCATGCGATCAAAACTGCGCGATTCCGTCATTTCTTGTGCCTTTGAGGCAGGCTATTGCGGCTAGCTAACGGGAACTACCGATGGGCTGGCAAAAGGGAGCTTACGCCGTGTCTCTGATCGGGCTGAGACATCGGCGGACTTAGGCTTGTCCTACTTGACCAGTAACGGCCTTGTACAACCTGGCAAGACCTTCTCCCGTGTCAAGCCATTCCTCCGGATGTTCTGTGATCCATCCAGTTGGGAAGATATCTCTCTGATGGCTCAAAGGTGCGTTGTGTCTCGGCTCGAGTCTGGCAACAGAGGAGACGATTCTTCAGTCTTTGGGGATGTTGACAACGGCAAAATTGATTCCAGCTATAACTGCATTCGTCAATCAATCACTAGAATGTTGTCTGAATTGGGAATATCGTGGGATTCAGCAGGACTGAGAAGCCTGAGATATTGAGTATAAAATAACTCAAGATTTCCATCATGGTCCCTTCTTTTCTTCTTCACTCGCCACAGCAACTCCGACATCTTCACATCTTCAGCAAAGGTTCCTTGAATCAACAGTTCAAACATCTCAAGATGGCTTCCATTCGCACTCTTACCACCTTTGCCCTGGCTTTTGGTGTCGCCGCCAATCCTGCGCCTGCTCCTCAGCCCGAAGCTGAAGCCGGCATCGCTGACTCCATTGGCCCTGCCGCGGTCAAGCTCGAACCAGTCTCTCTCTCCTTAACTCTTCCTAATGTCGAGCTCCCGACCCCGCCTACTGTCAACGCTCCCCGCGGCGTTCCCGACATTAATCTTCCGGCTCTTCCCACTACTCTCCTCTCTCTTCCGAGTCTCAATCTCCCCCGCGGCCTCGCGGCTCCGACTCTCGCACCTCCTGCGCTACCAGCCCTACCGACATTGTCTGTCGATGTTGACATTCCAGCTTCAACCATCTCGTTGGCCATCGAAGTTCCGGACCTGAACATCCCCCGCGGCCTTACGGCTCCGACTCTTGCACCCCCGGTACTCCCAGTTTTGCCGACTCTTTCCGTTGACGTGGCTGTCCCGGCTTCTACTGTCTCAGTGACCGTTGAGGTCCCGGATCTGAATATCCCTCGGGACCTCCCAATTCTGTCTTCTCTTCTCTCGCTATCGGTCAACGTTGAGGCCACTGGCCTCCCTATCCTCCCCGCCGTCAATGTTCCCCGAGAGATCCCGGCGATTCCCTCCATCAGCATTGAGCTTCCTGTTCTGCCCTCAACTTCCATCGCACTCCCAATCCGCAGGCACGCTCGGGATATCTCAATCGCCAACCCTCCCCTCCCTACCCTGCCAGCTGTTAAAGTCGCTCCTTACACGGTTGCTCTTCCCGGTATCGCTGTCCCCAATGCCCCCGGCGTTGTCGTTGAGCGGGACATTCCCGCCATCACCAGTCTCCCGGTCGAGGTTACACTGCCCTCCCTTGCGCTCCCCAGTCTCCCCAAGCTCAACCTCGAGCGCGACCTTTCAACCACCATCGATCTCTCGGTCCTCAGCACTCTGCTTGCTGTTTTGCCCACCGCCGTCCCAAAGCTGAACCTCGAGCGAGACCTGCCTGCCATTGATGCCTCGATCCTCAGCTCGCTGGTCGCCGCTCTGCCCACCCCGAAGTTGAACTTGGAGCGCGACCTGCCTACCGTTGACGCCACCATCCTGAGCAGCATTCTTGCCACTCTCCCCACCGCCATCCCAAAGTTGAACCTCGAGCGCGACTTGCATGCTATCGACGCCTCAATCATCAGCTCTTTAGTCGCTGCTCTGCCCACCCCTTCCGTGGAGCTGAACCTCGAGCGCAGCTTGCCCACCATTGACCTTTCGGTTCTCAGCTCTCTGGTCGCCATTCTGCCTACCGCCATTCCCAAGCTTCCGGAGCGCGACTTGCCCATTGATGCTTCCGCGGTTATCAGCAGCATCCTCGCTACCCTGCCTAGCCCTCTCGCCAAGCTCAACTTGGAGCGCGATTTGCCTGTCGATGCTTCCGCGGTCATCGGCTCCTTGTTTGCTGCTCTGACGACTCCTCCCGCGAAGTTGGCCGAACGCGAAATCGCAGTCCCGCTTCCCACTGTCGCACCTGTCACCTTCTCCCTCACTGCCCCCGTCGTTCTGCCTGCTCCTGTTATTCCTGCAATTCCCCGCGACATCGTCCCGAGCTCCGTCGACCTGCCCGCCGCCCCTACTCTGCCCGCCATTCCTCCCGTCAACGTCAAGGGCGAGCCCATCAACGCCAAGGTTCTGCCTCTTCGCGCCCTCCCGATGCTTCCTATCAACCCCACCACCTTGATCTCATTGATCCCTGCCCCGACCGGAATTCTCAGCTGCTCTACCGTCCTATGCATCCCCAACTACGTCTGCAAGGAGAAGAATGGCGCACCCATCTGCGTGCCCGTCTCTCCCCCTACAGTCCCTGCTGTCTAAATTCCCTGCTGTCGATCCCGTCCCTTTAGAGACGGGGCGCCCGATCTAGCAAGCCGGCACTCGCAACTACACTAGCTCTCGGTGACGAACTAGTAATATCTGAATAACTTGGGGATAAAAGGAGGCTTGGATAGCTCTCCCCACAGATTGGAACATGGAGGATCGTAGTAATGAAGGACGTATAATGGGGAAGGGGGAAACGTCAAACTTAGCTGCCCCTGAGGCATGAATCTATTAATTACTCAATAGCTAATCTAATCCATCTCTTTTCTCAACTGCCAAGACGCGATCATCATCCTCGTCCGAACATGCCGGGTGCTGCTTACTCCTATCCCTTTAGCCTATAGGGTCTGTTCTCGGACCTTATACACTAGCTAGCACGCTTTGTCCGTGAGTTGGTCAACGCCCGTGCCGTTGTTTAAAGTTAGCCCATTCCTTTCATATAACTGGAGACAACCAGTTGTCGCCGGCATTTAATCACTCTCAAACAATGAACTATAATTGTTCCCTGAATCGCGCCAAACTTACTGCTCGCCGACAATGAGGGTTGAATCCTTCACTTTTGGACCATAAAGGTTGACGTTGCCACCTGATCTTGAACAGATCCAGGTGTTCCTCAAAGCCATTCACTCATTTATCTTCAGCACAAGAACGCTCGATTCCAACTCGGCCAGTCATTCTTTTACCAACAAACCCAAATCATCAACATGATGTTCCTTCACTCGCTTATCGTCGGCGTCTTCGCCATTGCCGCCTCCGCCGCCCCGGCCCCGACCCCGCAAGGAGAACCCGCGCAAGATCGCTGCGCCGGCGTCGCTTGCCCCGAAAACTCCTACTGCAAAGTTTTCGATTTCAAGTTGGAGCACCCCGTCGGTTGCCAATCTAACGGTACCGTACCAGCCGATGCAGAGACGTGCGGCTCAGTCATTTGCCCGACAGGAACAACATGCTGCAACTCTCCGTGTGGCGTGTGCGCGAAGCCCGGGGAAACATGCTTGCAATGGGTCTGCTAAGTGGTGGAAATCTCGGATGGGATGGAGAATTTCGGGAAGCAATACCAGGTCATTGTCAGGAGTTCAGGCGTCCCTTCGATCATCTTCAAACCTCAACCACAGAACAATTGAAAATGATACACGTACCGGAGAATGCAGCATTTTCCATCTCACAAACGTACAAGAAACCCACATCATGCTTGTGCTCCTCACCCCTGGCGGAAATTGCCGTGCACTGATGACTCGCGTGAATTACTCCGAATATTAATTGCCGTAGGGCACAGTCATCTGGTACCACAATGTCGAGCATTAATAGGTAACTCCTGGGGCATGTCCTCAAGATTGAAGAAGCTGCTACTTCGGAAAGTTGAGATCTTGATCTGAATTTTGGTTTCCCTGAATCGAAGCGAACTTGATGATGCCTGGCGTGGTGCAGATGATGTACTCTGTAAAGACATCATCCGATCTCCAAACCCTGCTAAGCCTTGGTGATAGCAAACTCTGGTGTCTGGGTCATCCCGGTCTCTGCATAGTACCGTTCCCAGTGATCGACAAGCCTCCGCATCACCTGCGGCTCCTTGTCTGATACATCATTCATCTCCGCAGGGTCCTTCTCCACGTCATATAGCTCCCAGTCATCCTTTCCCCTGGGTTTGTTCAGCCAAACTGCCTTCCACTTGCCTTCGCGAATTGCCCTGAGCCCGAAGAGCTCCCAACCGTGGACGTGGACGTCTTCTCCGTGAACCGTCGAGTCTGGCGCCGCGTAATCGGGAGAAGTGAGGTGGTCCACCCAAGATTTGCCGCGGGGTACAACGACTTGACGACCTCGAAACGTCGTACCAGGATGCTGCACCTGAGCCATCTCCAAGATCGTGGGGAGGATATCCATAACGGTGGTGAAACGATGCGTGATAGCGTCGGGCTTGGCTTGAAATGGCGGAAAGCGGATTAAGCATGGGCACCGAATGCCGCCCTCCGTAATCCAACACTTTGAGCCCCGGGATGGCGCCGTCGCCGCACACGCCCATCGCGGACCTGATCCAAGTCAGTGCCGAATTGCATCACCAGAAGATTAAGTAGATGCGGTTACTAACCATACCAGGCGAAAGACGTCTTGTCGCCAATGTTGTCCAAGCTGTTGTCATAATACTTCTGGACTATCCCAGCAAACGTTGTTTCTCCTCCCATCATCTACGGTAGGGCAAAAGTTAATATCGGACCGACGCGGTGTTGAAGACGCGGCTAAACCTACAGGTATGGCCTCGAGGGCAGCACCCTCGGCGCCATTATCCGACATGAACAAAATAAAGGTGTTGTCGAGCTCTCCCGTAGCCTCAAGGTGATCAATGACTCGCCCAATGTTCTCGTCAATGAGATCCACCATGGCAGCAAAGACTTCCATCTTCCGTGCAGACTCTTTACGCTCCAATCCCGTCATATCGTTCCAGTCTTTACCTAGAACACCAACTGGCGGCGCATGGTCAATGTCCTTGGCCACAAGGCCGAGATCGACCAAGCGTTGCAGTCTTCGCCGCGTCAATGCATCAGGGCCATCGTCGTACTTCCCTGCTGGATTAACCGTTAGCGACCTCCTATATCCCGATCCTGCTCATGATTCATTCATACCGTATTTTTCGACCACCTCTCGTGGGGCCTGGAGGGGCCAGTGAGGCGCAGTGAAGGGTAGGTAAGCGAAGAACGGTTGCTCCTTTTCCTTCTCGTTTCTCTCCTTAAGAAAGTTGATCATACGATCGGTGAAGTAGCGCGTGGAGTAAAAGTCATCGGGAAGGTCCGTTCTATGATCGATAAACTTGTCGCCATCCATCCAATGACCTTCCGTGTCGAGACAAGGGATCTTGAACTCATCATCGTCCAGCTGGGGCTCATGAGCATGATGATTTCCGGAGCCCGGTAGGAATGTAAAGTTCTTCGTGAAACCTCGATTGCAAGGCGCAAGCTCCTTGGTTAGTCCAAGGTGCCTGTGGGATCCTCGAGGTCAGTCGCCTATGCCGTCGTCTAAAGTACCTAGCATGCGATGAGCTTACCATTTCCCCGACATGATGGTGTGATAACCAGCATTTTGCAGGATCTCGGATAAAGAAGCTACTCTCCAGTTTAAATAACCTTCGTAGCCGGGCTTGTCTTTGAAATAATCTCCAAAGTGCCTCATGTGTTCAGCCATTTGGCCTTGAGAGTTCGTCAGCCTTCGCCCTGTGATGAACGGAAGAACACTGACCAAGCCCAGCAATATGATGATCAGTTCCAGAGAATAGCATGGATCTTGTTGGGGAGCATGCCGACGCAGTATGGAAGTTGGTCATGCGAATTCCATCTTTAGCGAGCTTGTCGAGAGTTGGGGTATGGATTTCACCTCCATATGGACTGACATCAGAGAAGCCGAGGTCGTCGGCGACGATGATTAGGAAGTTTGGTCGTTGAGTTGCCATGATGAGTGATTGCTGATGAAAAGAGCTCGATGGGCGATATATGCTCAATTTCGACTGCGGCCTTTTAGTTCAAGTGACCGAGGTGATCCGGAAAATCGACTGGGTTCCTCTACGAATGACGGGCCCATTACTTAGTGACCACTCCTTTTAATGGCGAGATTACTCTCAGAATTGACGCAATTCACTTTATTCACTCATCAGAGACGATTATTTCTCTTCTGAGAGGGGCTAAAACTGATATGGATTGGGGCAAGCTTGACGACACTCAAGGGTGTGTGAATGAGGTCGCTATCTCCCCGTTCTTACCCGTTGATGGGGATAACAGCTTGTCAATGAATACCCCGCTATTGAGATCCGCCGAGATCCGGCAATGATATAGCGATAGCAAAAACTCGTCGATCTCTTATGCAGCCTTCCATGAGAAGCGACTGCTAATTTCTTGGGTCGAAATTTGACGCCACTTCTTGTAAGCCGTAGACAGCCATGGACTCCTAAGGTGGTCGTGGATGCACGACAGCACGTAAAGGTGAAGTAGTGTCTTTAAAGTGAACACTAATCTCACATGACTACGACGCGTTACTAATATTGGATGCTTCGTCAACATGCAAATAATAACAGCAGCGATTTGTCTGTGTTGGTGAAAATAGTTGTTAACGGGGATAGACGGGGAGATGTTTCCGGGGAACCATCCAACAACAACGAAGCTATCCAGAATCCGGAATAAGCGTCGTATCCCCCCGCTCTAGTCATTACTTTGGCCCACTTGATTGACAGGGGTAGTCACGCTTGAGTAGAAGTTTACCCCAAGGAGATGGCTCAACTTCTCCGGGAGTCAAACGTTGGAAACATCGATACCCGGCAAATCGTCAACATTAGTCGTGATGGCGCAATTAAGAGCATGTAATGATACTTACATGAATATTATAAAGCCGTCGTGTTTGCCTCTCACAATAGCAGATAGCCATAGAAAAGTGGCGTGCCTTGACATGCTCACCTAGATTGACAGCCAATATTTCGGCAACTAATCAGCCATCATGTTCAGCCACCTTGCGTTACGGCAATCTTTCAACAGATCTTTGACTTCAACGATCCTGCTCATTGCTGTCTCTCAATTCAACTTTGGGTTTGACCAACAAGGCTTCAATTCGACCCAAGCGATGGACGCTTTCGAACGGCAATTCGGCTGGTATAATGCCAAGACGAAAGCCTACTACCTCGAAAGCTGGTGGCTGTCTCTTTTTGCCGGCCTGCCGTATATTGGGTTTGGCATAGGTACGTTACGCGAGAGATGGGCTTAGCATAAAATATTGACAGGCTCGTTCTGGTCTAGGGATTCTGATCGGGAGCATAGTCAGTAAACGCTACGGTCGGCGCATGTGCATGTTCTCAATGAGTATCTGGTCTTGCGTGGCTACGACAATTATCATGACGTCCAGAAGCCGAGATCAGATCCTCGCTGCTAGGATATTGGCCTATATCTATATTGGCATGGAGCTTGCCGTTGTGCCCATCTATCAGTCGGAAATAACTCCGCAACGAGCTCGTGGTTTCGTTGTCGGCACGTACCAACTGAGTCTTGCAGTAAGCTGAAATGACCCTTCCTAAACTACCAAGATTTATGCTGAAAATTCTTTTAGACGGGTGGCTTGGTCGTCAACGCCGTGGCCCGAGGTACCGGGAGCTTGAACTCGGCTGCGGCATACTTGATTCCGTACGGGCTCTTCTACATCGTACCCGTGATAGTCATATCGGGAATCTGGTTTGTCCCAGAGGTGAGTACTCAGTAGTATCTATGTCATCTGATCACGATTGGGTCAGGATACTGATTCTCTATACTCCTGAAGTCTCCCCGTTGGCTTGCAATGCAAGGCCGTAACGACGAAGCACTTATAGCTCTCACTCGTCTCCGTGAAGGCAGCTTCACTGAAGAGCAAATAGCGACCGAGATGTCTCAAATACGCGCAGGTATAGATCACGAAGTTGAGAAAGGTTCTTTCATGGACATGTTCAGGGGCAAGCAAGTGACAAAACGAACCATGTCAGTCATTGGTGTCAACTTTTTCCTGCAGGCTACTGGCTCTATCTTTGCCTCTGTGTACGGCGCCATTTTTGTGAAGCAGCTGGGGTTCATCAATCCTTTCACCGTCACCATGATCACCTCCAGCATTAACATTGTCATGTGTGTCTGCTCAATGACCCTATTGGACAATTTGGGACGGAGGTAAAGCCCCTAGTGTGCATTATGTGCCTTGGATCAGGCCTACTTGCACCGATTGGCTGACTTATCATCGGCATTAGAAACGTCATCTTCTTCGGCGGCTCGATTCAGACGGCCGGTCTTTTCGCCATGGGCGCTCTCGGACTCACGTCCAATCCGAGCGTCTCCGTCAAGTCAGCCATTGTCGCCATGATGATTGTGATGACTACGGGATTCACTCTCGGATGGGCACCAACATCGCATGTTCTCTCTGCCGAGATTCCGAGCATGCGTCTCCGTGACGTTACGTATCGGACGGCCAGCGTGGTTAACATTGCAATGCAATTCACCGTCGCTTTTACGCTACCGTATCTGCTCAACGCCCCGTACGCGAATCTGGGGTCCAAGGTTGGTCTGATCTTCGGCACAATAAGCTTTCTCTCTCTTGTGTTTGTCTATCTCTGCGTGCCGGAGTGTAAGGGCCGGACACTTGAGGAGGTGGATATGCTCTTTGAATTGAATATCCCGATGCGGAAATTTCGGAGCACAGTCCTCGTGATGCATGCTCACAACCAGGCGAATAGCAAAAGAGATGAGGAGACAGCCTCCGAAGTAGCTGCCACGTTAGGACCCAGAGCAAACAGTCGAGGATGAATGTGGTCAATGTCAGTTCGAGGCAAGAGAGAATCAGTCACGGGGGATTATGGAAGCGTTGGGACGCAGTGTTCTGAGTGCGGCATCTATCGTCAATTGCATAAACCTGTAAGCAGTACATAGATATCTCATTCGCGATACAGCCAAACCCAAAAAAAGGACCAAAGGAGTGACGCAAACCATGATATTCCCCCATCTTACGCGCAACCGTTACTTCATCAGACATAACAAACTACCATGCATATTATCCTCCTCTTTCCAAACTCCTGTTGTGACATATCCGTACCATAGACTTCAACAATCCTGCCCAGTCAGTGGAACCAAGCCTTTTAGAGCATGAAAGCACCAAGAGCAAAGGCACCAGCGACGATGGCACCGACGGCGCCGAGCATGCCGTTGCTGCCGGGAGTGTGGAGACCAGGGGCAGCATTGCCGGTCTGGCGGCCACCGCCAACGATGGTGGAGGTGGCAATGGAGGGAAGACCACCGTTACCGGAGGTGAGGAAGGTGGTGGTGATGGTGGAGCGCTCGCTGGAGCGAGTACGGCTGGAGGAGGACTCAGTAGTCTGAGCACCGCCGAAGGTGGTAGTAAGCTGACTGCTGGCAGTCAGGCGGGTGGCGAGGACGATGACGGTGTTGGCAAGGGAGGTGGATGAGGAAGCGTAGCCGCTGGCGCTGGGCAGCTGGCAGACGTTCATGATGCTCTGGATACCTGTGTGTGAAGCATCAGGTTAGCTCACTGCGATTCGAAAGAGGCTGTGATCTGGATGTCTAGAAGTAACTTACCCTCAAGGCTACGCTGCTGGTCGGAAGGAACCTTCTCGATCATGCAGGCATTGCACTGGCCAGCCAAGTTCTTCAGGTCGAAGGAGTTGTTGGTGCAGACACACTGGGAGTCAAGCTCATCCTGGAGCTGATCGCTGTTGTTGTTGCCCTGGCCAGGGACGAAGTTGACAGTACAGATGTTGCCAAGGTCACGGACGGGGCGGCAGATGGCAGTGCAGTCCTGGGGGATGTCGTTGGTGTTGAGGCGAAGATCAGCGTGGACAACCGCCGCGGCGGCGAGAGAAAGGGCGACGGCCTTGGCGTGCATTTTGATTGTTTGGGGGGTTGGTTAGTGAGAGGGGGTTGAAAAGATGCTGAAGAGCGAATGAAGCCGAGGCTGTGAAAGATGTAAGAGTCGAAAAAGGTTTGCGAGAGACTAGCTGTCGAAAGGCGAAGTGAAGCTGTGTGAGAGTGATCTGATGAGAAGAAGAAGAAAGGCTACCAGACGGGTTCGTGATAGGATATTTATGTTCTGGGTGTCAACTGTTCATGTGCTGCCTGAACGTGAACCCCTCTAGTTTCGTCCGGAGATCCGCTTCGGCAAGCATCCAAGATGAGGGCCCCTGGGCGTCGAAACAGTCACCTCTGCTGTGCCATGACAAGGGACAAGAGAGAGGCACTGATGGGGAAGGGCAACCATCCACCACGAGGTAGGCTGTGGTGGGCAATGCCAAGCTGCATCTCAGAGCCCCGAGCAGTCCAAGCCTCAGACCAGACCGAGACTGAGTGACGCTATCGGTATTCTGGACTGACTGAGCAGGTTGGGTACATTGTCAAGCAGCTAGAGCCCAGAGGTACTCGTTGACACTGGGCATAACACGGCTCAGAGCAGGATGACGTGGTCCAAGAGCCATGCATCTTTAGACAAACGTCTGTCGAAGCATAACATCGTGAAACGCCTTTTTTGCCTGTCACCCGTGGGAGTCTTTGCCGCCGTTCCTCCCCACGTGAACGGCGTGGACTAGTGCCTCCGGTCAAACCTTAGTTTGTTAGTGCGCCCCAGTACTCTATCTGTGTAGACTGTACGAAAAGACCTAGCTAATATGACGGATCCCTTCTCTCAGCGTAGCGGATGCAGGAGGATATGATGCAGGGAGAGATTGATGCAAGGCATGGGTCTTTGCAAAGAGCACTTGGTGATTGCGGCGTCCGATCGGTCCCCCTGGCAGTCTATCCGTAAAGGTGCTCGCCAGAAGATGCGGCGAGAACCGATGGTTCGGTCACCATGGTATTCTCCAGGCTCAAGCTCCCATGTTGGAATCCTTCCCAAAAGCAGGGTCGAAAGGACGAGGGGTTGGGAAGGATTTCTCTTGGCAGCGGGAAGAAGCATGCTCAAAGCTCGGAGTGATCTTGGCTACGACCAGTGCCACCTTCTGCGCTTACCATGGAGCGAGCATGTTCTTATCACAAAGTTCCGAGGAGACAGTTCATACACCGCTGCAAGTGATAGACATCAAACATCATTTGCAGTCCAGCTGACAGATTAAGGTACCCAGATGCGAGGGATGAGATACATTCTCCCTCGGTATTACGCTGTCAAATACAAAGATACCAGTTGCCGCAACTATGTCTGCTATTTCCTGCTCAAGAATGGTACTGCCAGCAAAATTGCAGGCCAGCCTGGACACCCGCACGGCGCTCTCAGTCCTCCTTCATTGTCCCGACGATCTTCCCATCGTCGAGCTGTCGCGTTTCACGTCCGGCCGTAGCACCGGGCCGTGCCCTGGGCTAACAAACAAACCTAACCTAGCTTGTCCAGGTCGGCCCTGCACTTCCCCAAGTTATCCGTTGAAAACTGGGAGTCTCCTCGGTTTTACTTGGTGCCTGGGGGCGGTGTCATACCGAAGTGCCGGCTAACCGATTCAAGTTGGGTTATTGTTTGGCTCTGGGGCAGCCGTTGAGAAGCCGGGCAAAGAGGGTAGGTAGGCCCACACACATATGAATAGAGCCGACTAACGGAGCTAGGTAAGTAGGGAGATCCGCGGGGAGGCTAGAGAAACAAAGCCTGTCCGTGCATCTGCTCCGGAGTGAATTTTCCCTGCCCTCGACTATGAGTCGAGTCGCGAAAGCTGGAGATGAAGAGAACCTCATCTCCGAGTGCCTGGGCTGAATCAAAGAGCTTCGAATTCAGCAGATGGAGAAACTTTGATCCTGAAAATGTTTCCATGGTGAAAGCATTCTCCGGTTCTAGACCCAAATGTCTAGCCCCGCCTGTTGCCGCCAGACAACACACTGTGTAGGCGCCGGCTGATTTCTGAATCTAGTACCAGGGCAACACAAGGTTTCCATGGATCGTCACCTAGGCAATTCTTAACTTCTAGTTCCCGTTGAAAAACGACACTAACAAACGCCCTCAGTCAAATCCGTTCCATTCGGATTCTAGCCCCAATGAAGCGCTCTACGAAAAAGGCGCATTGCTCCTCAATATGTGGGATTAGATTGCCTCGTCCAGAAAGTTGCTGAGCAGGAAATCCATCTGGAAAGTAGAAAGTAGGGGCTCAGCGTATGGAAAGATCTCGGCATGAATCACTCGGCCTGCTGTCGTTTGTCGCCCACATGAGCAGAGTTGCGCTTGCTTGGCAAAGGGATTTATGCCGTGAACCCCAACCAGAGCTCAGGCCAAGCAAAGGCTCCAGAAATGACCCATCGAGATGGCAAGTTCGTCCAAGGTCCCACATCTCACGGATCAACGGGCCATCCCACTGCCCCAAGCTCTCAGCCATCTCAAGTCTTCAAGTTTGTGAGAGACCATACCCAGGTGACCGGTTCTTTACAATCAACGTCGCATATGAATCACCAGAGCCGTTGCTTTTCGTGGCGGAGTCTCGACCTGCATCATGGCGCGTGGCCTGCATATCTTGGGACGTGGAAAAGCCCCAAACAGGAGTCGTGAGTGAAAGTCGAGCTTGATCCAAACAGTTTCCTGCACGCTGTACCCCGGGTTTGAGGATTGAGAAGGGGGGCGACATGGATGATTTCAAGCCGAGAAATATCTGAAATGTCCGATTCCTCGGCGCAGGCAGCCCTTGATGACTGGCTGCTCATTCGACATTCTCGCCTTCGGACTGGACAACTTCCACGCACGGTGCCACTCTATGCATCAAATGCATTTTCATGAATCACACACAAGAGTAGAGACGAAGGAAAAGATCCCCAAGAAAATTCCGAGCTAGCCAACCCAGTTCATCTTGCTGCAGGGATTCCTCACCCCAGTCCTAAGTCCTGCAGAGAAAAGAGTTGCTAGGAACTAGCGGCCCGTGCCCTTCGTCTCACGGTGCAGTCTTGGACGATCCTCCAGAAAGCGAGGCGACGAGGACGAGGACTGTGGCTCGGTCTGCACTGAGATTACACGGCGGCGAAACATGTCAAGGCCGTCTGTGCGGGGACAAAGAACCAGCAGAATACGGCAGCCCATCACATGTCCAAGTCCGTCGGGTAAGTGGAGATTAGTCAAGGCGAGTGATTCTTTGCTTCGCGCATCCTTGGCGGCTTAGAATTACCTAGTCCTGTGGTGAGGTCCGGTCAAGCGACAGTCGCAAGTTGCTATTGGCCCCGTCCACGAAATTAATTTTTACCGCCTGACCCCATAAGAGATGCGAAAGGCTTGGTAAACAAATACATCATCAGGCGAAAAACTTGAGTTGGACTGTATGAGATGATGGGTGCATGCTCGTCACATAAGGTAAGGTAGTCTCGATGGTTGCAGATTGAAAAATGATAGGATGTATATTGTTTGAAGTTGGGCACAATAGAGCAATGTGGCTAGTTAGACATATCAACCTCACTATCCGTCAATCCGACCACTTAGGACGATGAGGGTAGATTTCCTTCAACAAAGCCTCCATGCGAGCCTTTCCAGCCAGCTCTGCTTCTTCAGGCGACGGCGACGGTAAAGGGCTGCTGAAAAGCGGGGCCCGGATTTGGCGGTCCGAAGCAGTCGGAGTATCAACGTATCGCTTGATGGAATACGCCGAGTCCGACGATACGGGAATTGCGGGTCGTGCAACCTGTGGGGCCGGTGTTGGTGTCGGAGCTGGGATCGGGACCGTAGGCGGGGCTGTCGGTGATGCAGCGGAAGTTCTGTATGGCAGGAATACCGGAAAGTTAGCAGGCGGTGGGGGGGCTCTAGGATGGCGGTACAAGCCAAAGTGACAGCACTCTGTTCCATAGAATAGCCTTGATTAGCACGCACCTGTGACCGCCATTGTAAACAGCGCCAGTGGAAGACATGATTGCAGTGGAAAGGGAAATCCAGGCGATGGTTAAGGGTCTTGGCAGGCCGGAGACGGACAGCCGTGTGACTCGGATGAACCTGGATGGGCGGGTGGGGCCGAACCTTGGCTGATGTTGTTCGGGTGCGGTACTTTGGTGGGTCTTCAGCAACTGGTAGTAAGGTAAAAGCATCAAGCTCATCAGTGTCACTGGAACTTGTAATCAGATAAGATCAAAGGCTGATGCAAGGAGCTCGTGATGATGGGTGCAGTAAAGGCACGATGGGCACAGATTGAGGGAATCGTTCGGATCGATCCATCCGGGCAACAGGGACATACCGAGTATTTAAAGGCATCAAAACGAATCACTGGCGCGGGAGGAAACAATTCCAGCAGGAAAGATTCAAGAGACCATCCAGCAAACCGTTCCGCGGAGGCAGCCTTACGCTAGACATAAAAAAGCCTCCAGCGAACCACAACATCAAGCAGCATCTATGTGAGATCCCGCAACGTGGGTGCCAGAATGGCGGGAAACGCCATCTGGACAGTGACGTGGTGGCGCGTTCCCAGCTTTCTACCCCGGCACCCCTAAGCTTCTGACAACGGTCAATGTTATCTCCAAAGTCAATGGTTCGCGGACGATATCCGCCACACGAGAAAGCAATAGTAGCTCCGGTCATGTTAGGCAGATCATAGGGTAGGTTTACGCGCGGACGCAAGCTCGCGAGGGTCACTGGCTTCGCATCGCATCGCAAAACCCTGGAAAATGTGATGGCGATGCGCCCGCCGCAGATGCATTCAGGGTCTCGAGCTCCAGAGGGCCTAGACCTTTTGCACACCATCGCAAAAACCCGCTTCGCTGGGGGATGGATAATTTGACAATGCCATGAGCCGTCGTATCGCGGTACCCCGACATATCACTCTGTCCTTGTAGCCAATCTTCATTCGTTGAGAGAACGAGGAAACAAAGAGTCGAGTCCAGATTATGCAGCCAAGATGCGCGCAGCCGCAGCCATATGTGACGTCAATCAACACGATTACTCGAGCTACGGGGCGCCGGAGAGGCATCCGATGGGAACCAGGGGGAGGGGTTCTGTTACTCAAGAAAGCGGTCTAGCGTTTACGCATTCCTGCGCTCGCCGTGTCCACAGCCACCACCCCGGCGTCAGCGTACACCAGGTAATAGCAAATACTCTCCGCAGTTTGAATTCCCTTCTCCAAAGATCTAGATGACCTAGATGTCAATGACGTGGGCGGCTCGATGATTCTTCTTGGACTGTGCTGCTGTCGCTTCGAGCTGCGTACTTCTTCGACTTGCTCTGCTCCCATTGCCTGGGTCCTTGTGGCTCATGAACGATCGCTGACGTAGCGCAAAGAGTGAATAGTCGCGATATCGAGGCTTTGGCCATGAAGAGGGGTGCTTGAAGGAACATCCGGAAGACACCGGCTTTCACATTTCCCTCGTCAAGAAACCGGAAAGTCGAAAAATGCCCTCCCCAGGCGACTTTTCTGCCATTTTCACCTACCCACCATCCCCCTCACGGACGGTTGGACCCTGACTCGTCGCGCGTCAGGGGTCCAGAGACCACCGGCCAGTCCCGAAATCGCAGAGATCGGCGCCCACGCCGTAACCCCCACCAAGGGCAGTCAAGGGAGCTCAGAGATCGTCAACAACACATGTCCCAATCCGAGTTGGCTCCCCTCCCGATGAGCATCTGACTTGACGCCCCTCGTACGATATCTTCTTCGAGATGGCTTGAACCGGATGGGCTCCGGCGAGGCAACAGAAAGGCGGACAGATGATCTCCTATTTTCAGGGCCAGCTCAAGTCCAGGGAGAAGAACAGCGATGACATCACCGTCGTATTCGGTTTGGCCATCACGCTATTTGTTTGCCCCAACGAACTGCCCAGAGATGAAGCGAACGCAGCACCGATGAGGCTACCATATAGGGCCTCATATCGGCCCGTGATAGTGTGGCGGTTTCTAGTGTGGTCCATCTTGGGATATCTGTTTTCGCATTAATGAATTATTCACGCCAAAGGTTTCCGTCGTGTGCTATCATTAATATTAAGAGGGTTTTCTAGGATTGCCTACACCCTCCGTGTCAAGCCTTTCGTCGCCGCCAACATCAATAACTTAGACACAACTGACCTCCCTACTTTCTTACCGCCAGCATCGTGCGATTCGTTCCCTGCCGTCGCCGGGGCTGTCGAACCGGTAAAGATTCCATGCTTCCTCTAGAATTCCGTCCGTGAATTTCTCCAATTCACATCTCGCCAACCCGGCGGTCAGCTATATCCAGTCCATCACAATCCAGATGCTTGACTGAAGCTAAAGCTACATCCATCTTCTCTGCCAAAGACGTAATTGAATCCCTTGGTAGAGACAAGAAGTGGCGGCGATGATGGTGACGCCAAAGGCGCGTTTTGTTCTTGAGCCGGTGGCACATCTTGCTTGTAGCACTGTGCTTGGGGCGTCTTTGTTGAGGTTTTTTGGACAGCAGGTGCAGCTCTCTTCAGTCTCGTCTGTGTATCGGGTTCTCTCTCATTCCATTTGCATGCCAGGACCTTGAATCGGACCTTTTCGGGGTGTGCATGCCTGCTGTTCTTGCTTTGGGTGGCGTAGAGGATGAACCTCTTCTGCAGCCAGGATATGGTGTCGACTACTCTAGACTTGACATCCCAGTGATCATCGTCGGGTTCGTGAAAAACTCTGCCCTGACATTTGAAACCATGTGTTACAGCCTTCGCCGATGGATTCGCGCTCCGGGGTTCGATCTCTCTCTTTGTGCTGTTGGTTACTTTCAATGTCTTGATCATCTCAGTAACCCGGTTCGGCGATAAACGGACGTCGTCAGTATCTTCCTTTGTACCTGTACAGATCTTTAGTCAGCATGACTCTCACTTTCAATCAATGGAACAGTCCTACGCTTCTTAGACGGCTCAAGGATAGAGTCCTGGGGTCTGATATCGAACGACGAGGCAGCGGCTTGGTTCGAGGTAGTGATCTGGGCCGGAATGACTTCTAGAGAGTCAATGCTTTTGTTCTTCTGAACTATTAGATAGTCAATGAAGTAGAATGTTTCTAGGTTGGGCAGATACTGAGCGAGAAATTCGTAGAGGTGGACAGGGTAGACTTTGGTGGCGAGGCCGGAGTAGCGGGTGCCGCAATGACCGCACCGAAAGCCGCCAACACTAGTTTCCCACGCGTGACAGTAGGGGATGGCGACGTGGCGGATATTGGCAAGTTCGTTGCATTTGATGGACTGCGAGATGCGACACCAACTTCGAAAGTCATCTGCGGACAGGTACTCAAGGCACACGATGTCAAAAGAGCCGCCAAGCGAGACGACGCGGTCGCCCTTCAGCTTTAAGCCACCAGGTGCACTCGTCAGGCGTCGAACGACCTTGGCTGACTCGAAGCAAGTAGCGGAAAGCTTCTTGAGGACTTGATTGGCAGAGACGTAGTTGGAGATGTTGGCTTGGGGTGTCGGGTATCGGGGCTCCAGTATGGCGGGCCAGACCCTCGTAGGTACATTCTCTTGAGCAAAGTCGAGAAGAACATCGTCTTCGTCCTTGGTATCTTGGTCACCGAGCGACCCTGGCGGCATTGGAGAGGGGTGATGGGTGATGCGAGCTGCAGTCCTGAGGCGTAGAAAGTGCATGCCTGGTTCGAAAATGGCATCCTCCCAGATCTGCTCTCGGATTTCGGGCGGCAAACGCGAGAAGCAAGTGAAGGAGCGAGCGGACGCCGGAATATCAAACTTGACTGGTGATGCCATTGTGAAATTATTCTGCTTCTGCTCTCTTGATTGTCGGTATCCAAAGCGAGCGGATTGAGAGACTGATGGGGAACTAGCGATGGTGGATGGTTCCATGAGATGGGTTAGTGAGGATGCTGTTGTGTCTGATGGAGATATTAGTGGAAGAATGTTGTCTGCTGGAGAGAGGCGGTTAGATAGGCGACACGCCCTCTTGGCAGGCGGTAGTGGGATGGGCCATTCCATTTTGTGGCGGCGGGCAGTGAATCACGCACTCGGGCGAAGGTTCCGAGATGCTCTTGACTTGACTTGGGGTGAAAGTCGGAAAGTATTGAAGAAAGTGACGGCGAGAGAAGAGTACGAGGTAAGGGTGATGTTGGTGCGTACCTAGGTACCTGAAAGAACGTACCTTAGTAGGAGGAGCTCCCTCACCAGTCACGTGTAGGCTAACAATGAGGTGAGATGAAGGTAGCGATCCAGTTAGCAGTGAATCGGAATAGAAGGTGCAAAGGACTTTAGGGCAATTGATTTTCATGTTGAAGGTTGGCAACCCCACTCGACCTACCGCCTTACCTTTGCGGACAACAGAAGGCTGAAGGAAGGAGCGATTAGGATGCTCATGTCAGTAACGATTTAGGAGTTTTGCGACTCCTCTTCATTTTCAGGTGGTTGTTTGTACACTCTATCAGGTGCCTTGAGACAGTATTGCGAGTGAGTTCATTCCATTTTCGAATTTGAGGTCCATACTCGTGCGAGATTTGCCATCATTCACAAGCAATCAACAGGTCTTTGGTCGTTCGTGAGTTTCGCAATTTCCGTCAAGTTAAGGGAACACAGTGAAGTAAACTGGGACAAGAATGCGGTTTCTTCAGTACCTTAGGAATGAACAAAGAGGCGCTCGGTACCAACATGAGTGTATTGATTGAACCATTGAGTACATTCAGTCACTCAAGGAGACATAAGGAGGTTGAAGGAGGCGACCATGGCTGGTGTAAGGTACCTAGCTGACGGCATCAAAATTCGGAGCCGACTCGGACCTGTGAGGTACGTACCCTCCCCAGAACCCACCCGACGTACCTAAGGGGGAATGGGGGGGGGGGGGGTTGCCCAGCAGAGGTGCCTTCCACGTAAGGTACCTTGTACCCCAAGACCCTGAAAGCTTCCGGAAGCTTACCATCAGACGACGAAAAGCCTCCGACTGAACCAAGCTTGCAAAACTTCCGATACCTTCCTATCCATCTCATCCGCAGCTATGCCGTAAAACTCAGTCAAAGCATACATCGCTGCATCGACCAGTATGGCCTTCGCGACCCACCCGAACCAGAAGCGGTCTGCCTGCGAGCGATGCCGCCGCCAAAAGCTCCGATGCTCCCGCCAAGACGACGAGAACGGGACACGCTGCACGCGGTGCGTAGAGCGGGGCATGGATTGCGTCGCCGGTCACCAGCGCCGCATTGGAAGACCGTCAAGACGCATGACCTTGGACCACGCGATGCCGAAGCGTCTACCAGAGATTTCTGTCCCTTCCACCAACACAGACGGCGAACAACGACCAGCCTACTCTGTGACCCATGATAGCCTTCCCGGTAACTCGCCACTAGACCCCTCAACGAGCACGACGGCGTTGGGGCACGGAACCACCACCGAAACGACTATCTCTTTGGACTACCATCTGGATGACTTTCCCTGGAATATGTCCCTCGATCCTCAGTTGGACAGCTCCATCTCCGTCCAGATGGCAGAAGAGGAGATGGGGCGCATAACCAGCACACCTCAGATCGCAGATCCGGCAACTCGGAATGAAGCTTTCGTCAAAATCTCAAAGATCAACGTCGATCTTCACTCCTATCTGTCAAGTATTGAGATTAACAGACCGCATCTCGACTTTTGCTCCTTCACCCACCCATCCTCAATCCTCAGCGTCAGCGGTCGCACCATGCCGGAGCTCGTCCTCGTCGCCTTCCAGGACTTTGTCGGCATTCTGACAGGCCTGAACAAAATGGCTAGCATTCATCGAAGTGCGTCGCCAACGACTAATACTTCAGCCGCTCGACCAGCACTGGCAGAGGGTGAATTATACTCTGAGTCTGGCTCATTGAACCCCTTGCTACTTGTGCGCGGCAAAGCATCTTCGCCGCTCGCTCTTCAAGCCGCTGTCCCCAGCACCAACGTCCTCGACCAGCCGCTAGTTCTCATCATTACTAGCTGTTACGTACAAATCATCGCAATCTTTGAGGAGATATTCGTCCAGATACACAAGAGACTAGAGGCAATCGCTTGGGACCCAATTCAGCCGATCGAAGGGATCAAGTTTGGCGCCTTTCCAATAGAAGATGCCCATCTTCAAGGTGTCATTTTCTCCCAGATTGTCGAAAGTCTACTGGAAAAAGCTGATCGATTTCTCGGCGTCCATCAACCCATGGAATTCCCGTCAGGGACCGTCATGTCATCGAGACTTTTGTCCCCTATTCAGTCTGATCTTCTCCATGGCCAGCTCGAATCCAAGGACCAAGCCTCCGTACCAAGGTCTGTTGGGCTCAAGATTGCTATTCAACGCTTGCGATCGACTTTGGAGGCAGCAGCATGATTACAAGCCAAGGATGGGAATGTCTGTATCATGGGAGAAAAAGCGACAATAACCTGATGTCCACCCCATAAGAAGGTAATACGTCAAGCCCTCCACCAGTAAAGAAATCCGAGTCTCTTGTAATACCGGCACTCAAGGCCCGCTGCTTAGCAATGCCGAGCATGCCATTGATGCAAATGTACCCTCACTCTACCCTCTCGGCCCACAACGGCGCACCGATCCCGTTGACATCGGCACTGCCCCCCGAATGTGTGCTGCGGAATCATCCAGCTCAACGTTTCAATGGGCGGGTTACTCGGCAGAAACTCCTACCGGCATGCCTCATCCCGTCCACGTCAACACTCGAGCCCAATCGGCATAGTTCATCCGCGCGGCAGATTGCTCCCGTTTGCGCACTCATTTGACCTCAAATCTGCTTACATCGGCACCATCTACTCCACCATACCCTCGGTGGAACCCATAAAAAATCGGTAGATATATACCTGGAGCAGCCCCCCTTCGACAGCGTCTTGGCACCCGTGCCATGGCTCAAGACCTTCGATATCAGTTGACGGGCTCGTAGGGATAGGCCCCTAGGTACCAGTAGGAAGCTGCCCGCCTACACATTCTTGTCACCTCCCCCTTTTCAAATCTCTCTTCCGCTAGACCCCCACATCTTCATCTATTCGTGACAAACATTCACACTACCTGCGGCACAGCGGTCTGCTATCCGAATCTATCGTCCGTTCAAATCTCTTCTACGGAGACAGGAAGCCAGCAACACGCTTGGAAGAGATGGGTACTTGTCAACAGCTCAAGGAACAAACCCTGGCGACAGGATAGCGGGCATCAGCAGCATGCCATCAGTCTGTGACGAGCGCTGAGTTAGGGTCTTCTGGCGCCCTAATCAACGAATACCACTTCGTGGTCTCGACATTTCAACATCACTCCATGAAAGGCCTGGGAGTTGGTAAAGGGGTAAGCCAAGCCGAGCAAGACATTTCATCACGAATGGCAGTCACTTCACAGAACGAGGCAGGCACGGACAAGGTTGTTTTGAACAGATATACATTGCAAAGCTTGAAAGACGCCCAGCTGCAAAAAAAGGTGCGCTAGACGCTTGTGGTGATGGTCGACTGAAAAAAGGGTGTTGTGCTTGCAGCGATATATACACCGGGTATAAATCTATTTACATGGTTGTTTGAGAAACGAATCAATGTGCTCATTCAGAGACCTTCTTCCAAGTGGAACAAGGCCTCGTATTTTCTTTCCTCCTTGTTTTTCACCTGCACGCACACACGCACACACACACACTGCATTCTACCAACGCTTAATGGCGGAGGCGGAAAGAGCGAGCGTGGCGGCGAGCCTTCTTGGCGCAGGCATCGTCAGCAGCGCCGGAGACGGCGGGAGTGGCAGAGGGAGCGGTGGTGGAGGGAGCAGAGGGAGTGGCGGGGGTGGTGCTGTTGGAGCCGGAGCCAGATCCAGAGCCAGAACCAGAGCCAGAGCCGGAGCCGTAGAGGGCAGGGCCAGGGATGGTGTAGCTGGAGATGGTGGCGTAGGGGTTGAACTGGATACCGGCGTCGGTGTTCTTGTACAGCTCAGTGCCGAGGGTTCCCTCGGGGTTGGCGGTGCCGGAGCCAGTGATCTTGACGTTGACGCACTGGGGGTAGTTCTGGGCACCGTTCAGAGAGCCAGCACCGTGCATGGCAATGATCTCGTGGCGGAGAACGTAGTTGCCGGCGGCGAGGTCGGAGGGGATGGTGGTGGTCCAGGTGTTGTTGTTGGCAATGAGCTTGGTGGCAGCCCACTCCTGGGTGGCGATATCAATGCCAGACTCGTCAATCTTGACCCACTTGAGGGTGGTCTTGTCGACGGAGGCCCAGTCGTCACCGTCGACCTTTGCGGCGTAGGTGAGGACGGGACCAAAGTGAGACTCGGGCCAAGCGGACCACTCGAAGTCGACGGTGCCACCGGCAGCGACGGTGGAGGCGACGGCGCCAGGAGCACCGTTCTTGTGGCAGTTGATGTCGGCGGAGGCGTAGCCGGTGCCGTCGACGAAGCCGTTGTCGAGGTTCTCGGCGGACCAGGCTGAGATGGAGGGGGGAGTGCCGCCGTTCTGCTTGAGGTAGTAGTAGTCGAGCTTGTAGCCGGCCTCGTAGGCGCCGTCGAACTTGAAGCCGGTGACGGTGCCGTGGGCGAGAGCGCTAGCGGCGAAGGCGCCAACGAGGGCGATGGTGGACTTGACGGAAGACATTTTTGAAAAGGTCGGGGTTGTTGGGATGGTCCTGTGGGAAAAAAGAAGGAGGAAGGGTTGGGAAGAGAATGAATGAGCTTGATTTCGTTGGATGTAAGAGTTTTTGCAAAAGAATGTCCCAGCTTCACACAGTGAAGAACTGACGGTTGACGGTTTGGAAAAAGAATGAAGTGGTGAAAGAACCAAAGAATGTGTGCGACCTGCAATGTTGGATGAAGAACCAAGAGGGAAAAGATATCACAAAAAGCGAGGACATCGTCGTGTTATTTATCCCACCGGGAGGCTCTTGTGTAAGATGCCAAGCAAGCAACCCCCTTTCGTCCTTATCCAGCTCTCAACTATTCCCAACCTGGTCGGGCCCAGTTCCTTCTTGCCAAGATAGTTCTACAAGCGCCTGATAGCTGAGCCGCCCCCTCAACCCTACTTCGTAGTGAAGTGGGAGCAGGGCCGGGTGGAGATGGCAGAAACTTCATAAGACCGAAACACCAATATGCAAACCAGAGTGGTGGAATTTTGGGGGGGTGGCACCCGTCGTGGCCGGGGAGAGGAGACCAACAGGTCCAACAGCGTCACAGCAGCCGGATGTGCTCCGATTTGGAAGGGATACCGGTCTAGGAAAGATGAGATGGACCGTTCCACTAGGAGGCGTAGGCGCTCAGTTTCGTAACGTCAGCCGTTGGGTTGTCTGGGCGCTCTGCCGTCCTCTCCCATGTTCAAAGCCTTGCAAGTTGATAGCCATGATCTGGCCCAGGGGCTCAAGCTGGGATCATGGCTGGGGTTGTGCGGCGCAAGGAAGGTGATGGCCATGATGGAGTCACCTGGGTATGCATGCTGTGCTGCTTGGGTCAGTATTGAATACATACCCAATGCCCAGTCCCAATAGTTTACTCATCATCAGCAAGAAGCCCTGGCGAACACGACTCTTTCGCCCAGAAACGGTGCGTGAGAGAAGCAGGGGATCCCGTAATAGTCATGGATCCCCCCCTTGCCATGGTAGCCGAGAGGCACTATGTACTTGTCAGCAAGCACGCAACTTGCAAGCGAGTTGCCAGAATTTGCCAGACTTGCCAGACTTGCCAGAGTGAGAACTTGAAAAGACTCTATTCGACTTAGTCATGGGGCAGAGTTACCACGTTGAGAGGGTGGCCGGCGGGAACTGTACAAATACGGCGCAGCACGGGCGCACCGGAATCTCAGACGTAGCGCCGGGCTTGAAACAGACCCTCCTGCCGCCCTTAATATGGGAAGGTAAATCATAGGAGGATCGGATGCGCGTTACCCAAATGCCACCACACTCTCCACCCAGACCTTGTCTTATTGCCAGTAACTTGTCTTGCTCTTGCAAGTTGACTTGCATCATACGGATACGCTCAACGATATCGTGATTCGTACTATCAGTGCGCAGTCTAAGTGGTTCGGAGCCGAAGATGATGACTAGAGGGGCTAGTGGTGACGACTGTTCGGATACGCCCCATCTTCGCGAGAGGAACCTGCAAATATGCATATCCCCATAGCTCCATTCTTGAGTGAGTGTCAAAGATGACCGTAAGACGTAGTCCGAGTGCCGATGTTCGCCAGTGATGCATACTCTCCCGTTAGCCTCTCTCTCTCTCCTCTTATCCATATACTCATTCGAGTGTCGCATTTCTGCGAGTCTGTAACTCTCTGTCAGCAAAACTGCCAGTGAGTTGTGCAAGTGCCTCGGTCTCGCACTTCTCCGCATGGTCTGAATAATTAAGGTGTGGTTCCTAGTGCCATATTCCCCTGAGTATCGATCCACATTTCTCGCTGGCGCCCACGTTTTTTCTGTCTTTTCCGATTGAATTTTTTCTTTGCCTCGTTAGGTCCTACTTCCCGCCGTCCGGTCTGCCCCCTTTCACTATGGAGTATGGATCCCGTCGTGGCGCGCTGCTGAGCCTACTGGGCCGCTGGCCTGTCGCATAGTGAGTGAATCTCGTTTCGGGCATTCCCATGCGTCGATCCGCGTAGTCGAGATGAACTCGCCAAGACAACTGCCGCCAGACCGTTTCTTCTTTAATGCGCCGAGCCTCTAGGTCATTGGCGATTCCGTCTCGTTCCACGGTTTTACGGGTTCGTTTACTTATCAGTCAATCATCAGTCTGATTCTTTCCAACTCGTCGTCTGTGGGCACTTTCGATGAAACGGCGCCCGCATACCTGTCAGCGATGTAGCAGCTTTGTCAACTTGTCGACCGTCAAGCGACTTGCCGACCAAATCTTCAAGCCTCTTGGAGTCTAAGCCATAATAGACCATCTCGGTCTCTGACTCGACTTCGCACTTTCAAGACTCTTGGGCGCATGCCGTAACCGCTGTTCTCGTCCGTGACCGTCGAGTCTTGCCCTCTTCCCCTTATTCTGGCGTGATCCGTGAGCTGCACTTCACAGCGTCGCGCCGAGACGGCGTTGCGGCGCGTGATTCCTGTACAAGGCCGCATTCGACAGGGCTGGTCGCCAAACGGTCGCCGCGTCACGAATCGTGATCCCAGCCTCAACCTTGATTGGGTTAGTGTTTGTTTGAGATAGACTTTGATGGTCGTCAAGCCCCCTCCCCTGACAGCGCTCTCTAAAACCGCTGCATATCAGAACTTCTGCTCGATATGACGACAACAGCGGTGAACACCAATTAATGTCTGCAGGCTGTGAGATGCAAGCGGTGCAGGGGACATCTCTGCTCGGTATAGGCAGCCGGTGTCTCATGGCAGATCGATTGCGTTAATGGCCCCCTTTCGTGCCCCTCTCGTCGACTCTTAATCCCGGCTGAGCATGTCAGCAGAGTTGTTTGCGGCAAAACTCTCGATTGAATCATTCTTTGGCCAAGCTTTTTGTTGCGTTCGATGAAGAAACTCTCTTTAAGAGAACTGTTTTACAAAAATGCCTGGATGGCTTCCCAGAACGCTGCAGGGCTCTCCCACATGGGAAGATGACCGGCGCTTGGTACAATTTTCAACTCGGCGCCGCTGTCGCCCAACGCACCCTTGAAGCCCTCCATTGCCTTGACCAGCGCACCTTTGGCGTCGCCATCACCCACGACCAGCAAGCCGGGAACTTGGCACGATCCAAGCTCTGGCTTCAGATCATAGTCCCACAGCGCTTGGCAGCTATATCTGAAGCCTTCTACATTGTTTGCTGCGACTATTTCCGTCATGGCTTTTACCACGTCCTCCTTCTCCAACGTGGCCGGATGGAACCACCGAACTACCGTCTGCTCAGCCAGCTTTGCGATTCCGGCTCCGCTATTCTCCTCTGCAACCGCGATGCGATCCTTCCAGGCCTGGGTATTAGCCGCACTCGACGTCACGTTGAAATCGCAGGCGATAAACTTCTTCAGTCTATTGGGGTACCTGAGCGCAAAGTTGGTTGTTGTTGCGCCTCCCATCGACACTCCGATGAGGGCGTGCAGCTTGGGGATGCGAAGTGCATCAAGAACACTGCGCAGATCAGAGGCAAGCAAGTCCAGGGTTGCCGGCACAGGTGGGCCCGGGATGGCGTGTCGGCCTCGTGTGTCGTACCGCAGAATGCGCAAGTCGGGGCGCTGCTCCTTCAAGATCTTCACGACTGGATCCCACATGTGCAGAGACGTCAGCAGAGAATTGCAGAATGCTACGGTAGGTGCCTTGGGCGAAGGGTTGCCTTCCAGCTTGTAAGGGATCGAAAGTTGATCTTCGGCTGTGATGTACGAGTCGATGACCTCGTCCTTTCCGGGAACAGTAGTGGTCTTGCCATCCGGGGCTGTAAAGGTGGAAGCCGTGGCCGGCAGCTTGGCCAAATTCTCCAGGTCGCGAGAGGCGGGACCAAAGACGTAGAAGAGAGAGTAGGTACGGCGGTTCATGCCTGCGACCTTCTTAACCATCTCTGCAGCCCAAGGAGTAGCCGTAGAGGCCTTGTGTTCGGGACCGCCCAAGCCATTTGTACGGGCGTAGTCATGGAGTACGAAGAAGGTAGTCTTGCTGCCGACGCCGTCGCCGATGGAGGAAATCTTGAAGAGACGGGTCCTCAACCAACCGGGAACCTTGGACAGCATCGGAATGTGTTCTTCAGCGTACCACTTCTTGAACTCGGCCTCGTCTGACTCGTCCTTGAGAGTGGTCTCAATGGCCACGAGCTCGATGCCCTCGGCTTCTTCGTCGGAAAGCTGCTCAATGGGGATGAACAGAGGGGCCTTTTGCTCAATGACCAAGTCGAAGAAGTATCTGGTGACGGCCACCTGGCCAATGGTTTCGGCCTCACGAGCAGATCTGTTTGCGCGGAGCGTGGTGTATGTGGGTGTCTCGAGGTGGGACATGTCCGTCACATCGTAGGAGGCGAGGTAGGTCGGCTCCTTGCCGTCGTTGGCGCGGTAGCGCAGGCCGTTGGTGAAGATTTGGGGGAGACGCAGGCGGGTTGGGCCGTGCTCGTTGTTGTACCACTCGTGGAACTGCTCGATAGCCAGTTCAGGCTTCGGCTGCATAGTAACGTAGAGCATTCCGGGGGGCGCCATGGTGAACACTTGACTCAATCGGTGTTGTCTGAGGTGTATTGAGAAGTTTGGACAGATTTGCAAAGGAGCAAAGACAAATGGCTGGGGGAACTCGGTATGTGAGGTATTCAGTCAGGGTGACTTCGGGTGCCGTGGGAAGCTCGGGGCGGGGCTTATGACGAACGCGGGGTCGAAATTGGAGAGAGGGTCCAGCGCGTTCGGGATCTTGACACGGCAAGCTGTGCGACGGCAATTCAAGTCAATGCTTTCAAGGATGCTTTGAGGAAGTTTCTTCGATAAGACCGGTTTATCTCAATGGGACGATATATCTCAGAGAATTCGCGTCTTGCCAACCTAAGGCGCGGTAACCGTGGGGACGAGGGGCGTCGGCCTCGGCCATTGTCGAAATAAATAATCTGGCGCAATGTGGCGGAAAAGTGTTCTGCCAGCAGCTTTCGCATCGCTGCCTCGCGATTGATGATTCTTCCAGGAGCATATGCTTGGAGCGGTATCGGTGGTGGTAATGGGCCGTTTCGTTGAAGGCTATTGACTGAATATTCCCCTTGACTTGTCGCATCTGGATCTCGAAGCAAATAAGACTCTGCATCTCTTGAATGGAAGACTACTTCGCCACCGCGTAGAGCATCGCATTTTCTCAACGGCATCCGACGTGTGGATTTGATCAAGGTATTCCGTACAATAGGGCAGGTGGAATGGGAAACGACGTCGAGGTTTCGGATGAAAATGGCAATCGGCTAGAACTCGGAAGAATTTGTCTAAGCCCCTGAGGTGAGATACGGACACCTTAAGCTCCTTCCCTCCTTACTCTTGAATCTGCCTGCCTGTTCGGAATGTTACAACGGTGAGGTATCAGATGGCAGGTTCATCGCTACCTGTAGCTTCCTATCCTTCTTTCCGCTCCTACCCTCACGCCCTCAGTCAGTTTGATTGAAGGAAGCCACCACCGTCGACAAACCTGCCATCTGCCACCTGCCTCTTGCCACCTGCACGTCCAATGGAGGGGCAGCGGTAGATGCCGGAGGCTAGCTCATAATCGCCGGTACTCTCCTTCTGGTTGGCTGAGTTGTGGTCCCCTGACCCGCTGCACATTAAGCGAAGAAGGACCGTTCTCTTTCGGGACTAGAGGGAAGAAGGCCCAGAGCGGCTACCTTTGCGTGGGGCAGATAGCCATCTGATAGACCGAGCTTCGGGACGTTTGAAGCTTTTCGCAATCAACGTGTCCAGCAAGCTGGAGCTTCTCTTCCACGTCAGCGCGGGCATAATGAGACCGCATTTCATGGAATGTTCAGTAAACCGAATCGCTTCTGTAGCCCGCGACTTGACATCTCTCGCATCTTTTTTCATCCAGGTTTCACCGCTCCCTCGACAATCGCTGCAGCCACTGCAAACAGTGTCCGCTGGGTCGACCTAACATTGATGCAAACCAACCTGCAGTCTGCTCGCTGTTCCTTACCGTCCTGACCGTGTCCAATCATTCCGAGCGGTGTACCTCTCAGATGTGACTGGCAAAATACATGGAAAGAAGGGTGCGCCTTCGTTTTTCAATGTGTGCTGTGTGACCTAACAGGACTGATACTCGTTCCAGGTGTGAGATGTTCTCAACACACCCATTCACCTTCCATCGACAACCCCGGCGTCCGCTACACTCTGGCTTCTGCTTCTGGTTTAATTCGTCTATGTCCTCGCATTGCTCTTAATCCCAACTTCTGACTACCCGCACTCTTCTGGGGCTTCAGTCTCATCCTTAGCCCCGGCCTCGTCTCATAGTTTCAAGTCGAATAAACCTTGCCGATTCCCATCACGACCTTGCTATTACTTTCGCAATGGAGGTCTTCCTGACCAACGTGCCTAGGCACCTTACGGATCGAACTCTGGAGAAGGAGCTTAGGCCGCACATGAAAGCTCTCGGCATCCTTGAATGGGCATGCTCAACGAAGAGCAAGAACGACAGGGGCTGGGTGACGTTCCTCAAAGCAGAAGACGGAACACGCTTTCTGAAACGTCATGGAAAGGTCATCCTTCCTGATGCTGGGGCTACATTCAAGCCCACTTCGAAAGGAGGAAAGCCTCCAAAGGAACGGGCGAGAGCAAACCTGTTTCTGATGAACACCCATGTCTATGTGGCCCCAAGCAACAGACCACCCGACCCTTTCATGATCAAGAGTCTTACCCATCGTCTGGAGGAAAAACACAGACAGCGGACTCAGCAAGATGCTCCCTCTACCGACGACGCCATCGTTTTTCAAGTCAGCCACTTGGCTTGCGGCCACAACACTTTTCAGCCAGACAAGACCTTGACCTTCAACGAACAATGTCGCCTTTCTCAAAGAGGCCTAGCAAAGTTTGGCAAGAGAATGCTCATTCTAAAGTTTGAGCAGGGAGTCAAAGTCGAGATCCCTCACTCCTCCATCGTCGAGATGATACACACATCTGTTCCCTCCAGTTTCACCCTTCTCCTCAGCGAACCACCACGCTTCTATCATACAAAGTCCGATTTGGAACAACAGATGGAACGTCTAGGCTTGGTCGATGATGCCAAGAGACCTCGGGGAAAGTCACTCACTCGTAGCCTTGGTCTATCCAGCAGTAAGGAGCATTTGAAGTGCGCGGGAACATGTCTCGTCTACCAGCTGGGAATTTTCGGTCCCGACTTCGATCATAAGATCATCAGCCTCAAGAAGAAGGAAATCATCGTTATTGCGCACTCAAAAGTCGCTCTCAACCAGATGCCCATCTTTTACGGAGTTGACTACCACACTGAGTGGGCCAAATTCTACGATGGCCTAGTCAAGGCCGGATCCGCCAAGGCATTACCTTTTGGCATCCTGTTTCAGCTGCAGTCCTTGGTCTTCAACAACTTTTTGCATCCACGCAGTGCTCACACCATGTTGATGTCCCTAGAGAAATTGTTTCAAAGCGCCAAGTTAGATGGCAAGCCGGAGCCCGTTTCCCAGCAGGCGTTCAAGGTTTTGCATGGCACTGGCCACGATGGAATCGACTACCCGTGTCATAACACTGACCCAAGTGACCTGGATCCCAACGAGATTCTGAAATACCTCATCTCCACTGAGAAACGTCTGCAATCCGAAAGCAACATCGAGTTCAGAGATGTCCTGCTTGAGCCTGAGATAACCGATCATCATGCCTGGATTCTCAAGGCCACAGTGACCCCGACGAGAATCACCTTGCATGGACCTGATCTGGAGCCTCTCAATCGCATACTTCGCAAATATCCAAACCAGACGGACTATTTCATGAGAGTCACCTTCGCCGACGAAGATGGTAGTGATCTATTCTTCAGTGGCAAGGTTTCCTACGATAAAATCTTCGACCGCTACAAGAGCATCCTAGGCAAGGGCCTGGAGATTGCTGGTCGAGTCTATGGCTTTCTTGGTTTCTCCCACTCGTCACTGCGATCCCATTCAGCATGGTTTTCAGCTCCATTCTTTGACGATTGGAACAAACTGCAACTGTACGGAAACATCATCAAATCGTTAGGTGATTTCGACAAGATACAAATCCCGGCCAAGTGCGCCGCTCGCATCGGACAGGCCTTTTCGGAAACCCCCTCATTCATTTCCATCAGCGAGGCCGACATCAACCGCTGCTATATCCCAGATGTCAAATCAACGGAGGGGAAAACTGAACGCGTTTTCAGCGATGGTGTAGGCACAATCTCCCGCGAAGCTCTCGAGCTGATTTGGCCCCGCCTGCCACGAGGCTCGTTCCATTCTACTTGTTTGCAGATCAGGTGGGGAGGTGTCAAAGGAATGCTATCTCTGGACACAAGGCTTCAGGGTCGAGCGGTGTGCATTCGAAAAGAGTCCATGGAGAAATTCCCCAGTAAGGATTGGGAGAATCTCGAAATTTGTGACGTGGCATCACGGCCTCTCAAACTGGTGCTGAATCGGCAATTGATTAAGATTATGGAAGACTTGGGTGTATCCAAGCAATGGTTTCTCCGACTGCAGAAGATGGAGCTTGATCGACTTCGGGCAGTAACAGCCGATGCGTACAACACGGCAACATTCTTGCATCTCCAGGCCATCGGCACAAGTTTCTTCTTGTCGACCTTTGTCAAAAGCCTTGACAAATACGGCATAGACTACCGTCAAGACAGGTTCTTGAGAGCAGTGGTCGAGTCGATTGTTCTACGGGAATTGCGATTGTTGAAGCACAAAGCCAGAATACCCGTTCCCAATGGCGCCACCCTTTTTGGAATCATGGATGAGACGAAGTTTCTCAAGGAGGGCCAGGTCTTCGTCTCTTTTGACACTTTTCGAAGACCTGGAAAGCCAGCCACTGTCGGATCTATCAAGGATGGTACCTTCATGCTCGTGACGCGCTCGCCAGCTCTTCACCCCGGCGATATTCAGCGAGTTATGGTTAGAGTACCACCGGCAGGTCACCCCTTACGGAACCTCCGCAACTGCATCGCGTTTAGTCAGTTTGGAGAGCGCGACTTGCCTAGCAAGCTAAGCGGCGGTGATCTTGATGGCGATTTGTACAACATCATCTGGGACCAAGATGCAATGCCCGCAATGGTATATGAAGCTGCCGACTACCCCAGAGTAACACCGGAGCCACTTGGTCGATCAGTGACGAGAGAAGACATGGCCAATTGGTTTGTTGACTTCATGAAGTCTGACGTACTCGGCATGATTGCCACTAGGCATCTAATTCTCGCCGATAAGCATCATGAAGGAACTGTGAGCGGCGACTGCATCAAACTAGCCGGTCTACACTCAACTGCTGTGGACTTTTCGAAGACAGGCATCCCAGTCGCGCGGGAAGATATCCCAAAGGCGCCCATTTTTCGCCCGGACTTGTAAGTACATGTTGTCGCTCGGCGTAGCTTATCACTGCTGATATCTCTCACAGCCTCGCGCCCGCACCCCCTGCTCAGCTGTACGATCGAACGCAGATTGACTTCCTTGGCAAAGACGAGGCAGTCGACGACGATGACGACGATTTCGTACCATCTTACCGATACTACAAATCAGAAAAAATCCTCGGCGAGCTTTATCGCAATGTCGACGAAAAGCAGATCTGGGATGATGAAATCAAGAGATCCATCCCCAAGACCGGACCCTCGGTTTGGGACCAGTTTGTAGGCTTAATAGAGCGAAAGATCAAAGACTATACTCATGGGCGAGTGAGCTGGGAAACGAAACTTAGGGAGGCGAAAAGCTTGCGCGATGTGTGAGTGGCTCTGAGACTTACGTTGTGGCGATTTCGTGTATCGTTTCCAGCTAACAGTCTATCCAGATACGAAGACCATCTCTTCAGTGCCATGAGAACGTACTCTGACAGTCACTTGAAGCAACTGACAGAAGTTGAGGTGTTCTGCGGCTCAATCTTCAACAAGACTGGCGCGCAGACTCGTCGTCAAAAAGACAACTCAATGAAGCTCAAGCAAGAGTTCGATCGACTAGCCGACCTCATGGTGCAACAAATGCGGCGCAAGTTCCGCAATGTTGGAGACAAAGCTGTCAAACCTACCGATGTCTACAATAATCCTGCACCGACTGGCACCGGCCAGATTGACGACGACATCGAACGGCTCTTGGCACCGAACAAGGATGCGTTGGAGATGTCATATGCGTGCTTCATGGTCGGTTTGCTGCCGAGTACCGACATTGAGCGCGGACACCGAGCAACACAGCTGGAAAGCTTCAAGGTTATTTCGGCGGGTGTCTTGCTCAAAGAGCTCACCGAGCTTGCCAATCGCGTGAAGGGTGGCCGATTGGTCAACCCCAGCAACGGCGACGCTGCGGGCGGTGGGTTTGTAGGTGTCAGTGATGGGCCAGCAATGTCCTATATGTACATCGGCTATGATGTGGATGTCGGGCAGTATCCCAATTATGGATACAGCCATTACATGTAGAGTACCTGTGTGAGGTAGATCATGATACGATCAAAAGCTTTTATACGATATTGAGGCCGTATCTTTGGTGGGCATCTGTGAACATCTGATTCAAAGCCTTGGAGGACGCTAGGAAATATGACTCGCCGGGTTTAGCGTCGCTTCCAATCAGTGCGCGAAGAGTTTTACTAAAAGCCTCCGATGCTGCTCACGTCGAAGGATTGTTCCTTGGACCAGTTACGAAGACGCCGGTGTAAGCCTCCGACTAACTTCCCTGCTACCTGGAAAGCCTCCTGCTGACGCGAGATGGCGATTCCCTATATATGACAGGACGAGAGAGTAGGACTATGCTCTTCGTGTTCATGGGCCATCTGTATTCCCGTTGCTCTCTCTGCTCAATTCCCAGATCGCGATGATGCCCCCCGCAAAGCCGGCTTCCAGCAGCGAAATCTTGGAGAACCTGGACTCTTCGTATATTCTCACTGAGCCCAGCAAGACACGTTCTCTTCAAGTTGAAGGCCAGAAAGAAGACAGCCAGATTGCGGTCGAGGCATCGACGGCGTACAGGAAGGACATACGCTTCTGGGTCATCTTGTTCGCGCTATGCATCACTTCTCTACTCGCTTCCCTAGAGACCACAGTGGTTGTGACTTCGTTGCCGACTATTGTTGATCGTTTGAAGTTTGGGAGCAGCTATGTCTGGGTTGGCAACATCTTCTTTCTCACCAGGTCAGTCTCCGAGCATCAGCCCAGCTACATGTGGCCGAAAATACTGATCCGAAGTGTATCCAAGTGCGGCTGTCCAGCCTCTCTTTGGGCAGATTTCCAATCTTTTCGGCCGCAGATATCTCACGCTGTTCATCGTAGCAATCTACACTCTTGGCAGCGGAATCTGCGGCGGCGCTAGTAGCCCGATGATGCTCATCGCTGGGCGAGCTGTGCAAGGAATGGGAAGCGGTGGCATAAACATGATCATCGACATCATCATCTCCGACCTCGTCCCACTTAGGGATAGAGGTAATTATATCGCCATCATCCTGGCAATATACGGGGTCGGCATGGCAATCGGACCGTTCGTGGGAGGCATCATCGTGCAAACTACTTCATGGAGATGGGTGAGCACTCGCCTTCATGCCAGTATTTTCCAACCCAAACTGACAGAACAGGTGTTCTACATCAACCTCCCAGTTGGCGGCCTCTCACTCGTTCTCCTCTATCTTTTCCTTCACGTGAAATGGGATCGGACCGCCACCTTCAACGGCAAACTTCGCCGAATCGACTACATTGGCAACTCGATACTCATCGCATCTACAGTCTCCGTTCTCATAGCCCTCACCTGGGGCGGCGAAATCTACTCTTGGTCCTCTTACCGCGTCATCATCCCCCTCGTTCTCGGCCTTGTAGGCCTCGTTGCCTTCTGCATCTTTGAGGGATCAGGCATCGTCCCGGAACCAGTGATGCCTCTACGCCTCCTCGCGAACCGGACCTCCGCCATTATCTACGCGACCACCTTCCTCAATTCCGCAATTCTGTACTGGGCATTCTTCTTCCTCCCGCTTTACTTTCAGGCCGTCAAGCTTTCAACTCCAGCTCGTTCAGGTCTTCAACTACTCCCCGTGACCTTGATCTCCATTCCGGGCGCCGCCATCTCCGCCGTCGTCCTCGCACGATGGGGCCGCTACAAAGCTCTCCACATCGCAGGCTTTGCCCTCATGACGCTCGGTCTCGGCATATGGGCCGTCTTGGACAGGTACAGCAGCACAGCAGCCTGGGTCCTCGTACAAGTCGTCCCCGCCGTTGGTTCAGGCATGCTCCTCAACACTCTGCTGCCAGCCTTCCAGGCAGGTCTCGCAGAAGCAGATCAAGCTGCCGCGACGGCAAGCTGGTCATTCATCCGCAGTTTTGGGAGTATCTGGGGCGTCGCTATCCCCGCGGCCATCTTCAACACGTATACATCGTCATATGCCGCGCAGAAGATAGATGACCCTGCGGCTCGGGGTATTTTACAGCATGGCAATGCGTATGCCAGCGCCACTAAAGCCTTTGTCGAGTCCTTCGATGAGCCGACGAGAAGTCAGATCATTGATGTATTCACCGAGGCTATGAGAAAGGTCTTTCTCATCGCGATTGCCTTCGGTGGCCTGGCTTTCTTATTGAGCTTCTTGGAGAGAGAGCTTGAGCTGAGAAAAGAGCTGGAAACTGAGTTTGGTCTCGAGGAAAAGAAGAACGCTGACGGAAATAAGGATGCTGTCTAAGTGATGCCCATCAGGAACTCAGAACCCCCTTGCCTTATTTGCTAGTCATCTATTTCTTAAATTCACCGGAAGAAACACTCCATCTGGCTACTCAATACAAAGTCAAGTCTCCCACCTACTACGTTTGGTAGGCACCTGGTCAGAGGCTCTCGAGCTTTCAGGTAGCCTAGGCTCGAGTTCGCTCGGCTTGAACATCTCTTTCGCAGGTCACAGCCGGCGGGATAATACTCTTCATTCCCAAGACCTAGCCCAATCGATATGTACTATGACGACACCGAAGATCGTTGCAATAGTCGGGGGCATGCGGAGACCGCAGCGCCTTGAAAGGCTGTTTGAGCGACGTTGACGGACAGCGGAGTAGGTAGCGGGCCAGGACTTCCATGACTCGACTCCGTCTGACCATCACGGAGTCAAAACTAGCGTCCGTAGTTGGGTGTTTTAGCTTCACGACTTCAGATTATTGCCCACTTCCAGCTCTAAGCATACCTGTCGGTAAAACTGCGGACAGAACGAATAGTGTGCTACTCGTGCGAGGCCGGAAGCCACCGACTGTGAATGAGAGTAGTTCTTCACTTCATCTTCAACTTGAGCATGCAGGCAAGCAAGCAAACGGATTGTATAAACAGGCCGAAACCAAGGCCCCAGCATCGCACGGTCAGGTACCATGCAGGGGACCTGGGGTTTTCTCCCTTCTTTCCCCTCCATTCGTTTCGTCGCGCTGGCCCTTGCGGCAGAACAGTCGGCCCAAAGTCTAAGTTCATCCGCCGTGCTTCATCCCCCTCCACACCATTCTGCCATGGAATAAAAGTAGGAGGAGCTATCCGTGGGGTCAGGTTCCTCGGTTCATGGAACATGGCAACCCTGCCCATGTTTGGTCGCCAAAGGAGCTACACAGCTCACTTCAACTTCTTATGGAAACTTTCAAGGTCAGAAGAGATTCATGCACACGTGGTGAAGAAAGCCTTCAATTGTCGGGCGAACCCGCCCCCATGGCAGAGAAGCTGCTCGCTGGCCAAAGCTTCAGGATCGCCGACCGGCACCCTAAACTTTTTTTCTTTCTTCCCTCCTACTCTTTTCCCTCCACTGACTTTCGGCACTTGGGCTGGGTTAAGTTCGGCTCCTTTGTCTCCGTCACATTATTCAAATGGTACCCGGCGCGTTGGTTGTCGTTGTATTTGGACCATCTCATATTACCTTGCCCTAATGCCGTTTGGCAGCCAAACTTGAGCTGGACACATACGGTGGGGTCATGCGTGACCATGAATCGATACAGAGTCAACAAGTCAAGCAGGCCCCATAGCAAGGCATCACCTGGGCGACGACGATGTCTGTCGTGTCACAGGTTGCCGGCTGCGGTGAGTGGACTGAGACGTGACATGAGATACTATCTATGAAAACGTCTGTTGACGATGATCACAGTGTGATTGCCGGCAATCTCGGCATGCGAGGGAAAGGTCGCAGTCAAGTTCCGGAATCTCCTCCATGAGCGAAAGCTCACCGACCACCAATGCGACCATTGAATCAAAGATCACCACACCAGGATGTCTAAGCTCAACGCCGGGGAGTTTGGAGCCCTTGCCGGCTGACATAACAACGGCTTTCTTCGCGTTCGTGGGCGACTCACCTTCACCCATGACCGATGTCTTTTCGCTGTCATTCATGCGGACATACCTCGACACGTCAATACCAATTCGTGCCGTTGTAACAACAATTGGCAAAATATGCCTAGAGTACTCAAAGACGACCGCTTTAGGAAAGAAGCAAAAAGCTGCAGCCACTATCATGGCCCAAGACCGATATAAGTTGAAAGAATTCCTTGACGTCCTCACGTCTCCCGAAAGCAGTGACCAGCACTTGATGTTGCTGTATGGGATTCTGATGGCTTATGCCGAGGTGAGTTGGGACTTGAACACTGAGAACACGCAGCATCTTACCCTCATTTTCTATCATACTCAGAGCTGACTGTAATGACTTTTAACAGACAATGACTGGCCAGTCATGGCTCTTCTTTCAGGCCACAATGAGAAAGTTGACGGAAAAGGTTCAACAGCAGGTCCAGGAGAGAAAAAGAGCACCTTTTTTGTACTTTGACAAAGGATTGCTGATGAACTACTCGCTCATGGCAACTTACCACTGTCTAGTATCGTTCGAGGACACCTTTCTTGTCGATGTCGAACTCTACGATCCAAAGCTCTTTGACAATATTGATGCGATTACTAGCCAAGTTCGCATTAACTCCGCCATATTACACCACTACACAAAATACGTGGCCAATTTTGCGCGACTGCACCACAAGTAAGAAAAGCCAACTCTCGGGGAAAGAGTCAGTCCAGTGTGGTACAAGTCAGCTCATGATTTATGTAGGGCAACGAAATGGGTGCGACAAGCGCGTCACGTTTTGAATGACCGCCATCTAGCTGCTGAACCACCACCTGACGAAGAGCTCAGGAAGATACTATCAGAAGCTGGGCTTTTGCAGCAGGGAATGGAGATTATCGAAAGTTCGGCAGCGGTCATTGATGTGATGGAGAACCTTCGAGGAGATAGATACGACGATGACGACGAGGCGGACAAAAGCGACTTCGGCATTCTGCGCGAGGCCTTTTACCATTTCTCGCTAATGGGAATAACGCGAACATTTTGGGATCCGGCGTGGAAGCTTATTGACGAGGACCTGCCACACATGTCAGACATGCCGGATCTCGAAGGACATGGATTATTCGTCCTAGAGAGGCTAGAACAACGGACTCCCGTTGTCGGGCTAGA